TTTTTAAGGACAACTAATGATAAGTTAATGAATTAAATATCCCCCCTGCCTGAACGTATTCAAACCTGGATCCAACCACAATGTCTTCTAAAGATCACGCATGCTCAACTTGAAGGAGTCTGAGTTGAAAGACGATTCTTCATTTTTATGCCCCAGGATCGAAAGATCCCGGGGGTATATTGTTTTTGTCCTGTCTGTCTGTTTGTCCGTTTGTCTGTTGTCAACTTTAACCTTGCCCATAACTTTTGATTGGTTGTTGCTATGACTTTCATATTTCACATGTGTATTCCTTGTGACAAGACCTTTCTTTGGGTACCATCATATTTGACCTTTTGACCTTGGAGTTTGACCTACTTTTGCAAAATTTTATGAGACTTTAACCTTGGCCATAAATTCTGAACAGTTGGTGCTTGGGGTTTCAAACTTCACATGTGTATTTTTTATGACAAGGCCTTCCTTTGGATACCAACAACTTTGACCCTTTGTCCTTGACATAGGAGTTTGACCTACTTTTGAAAAACTTGAACCTTGGCCATAACTTTTGAACAGTTAGTGCTTCCGGTTTCAAGCTTCACATGTGTATTCCTTGTGACAAGACCTTCGTCTGGATACCAACCACTTTGACCCTTTGACCTTGACATAGGAGTTTGACCTACTTTTGAAAAACTTTAACCTTGGCCATAACTTTTGAATGGTTGATGCAAGGGCTTTCATACTTCACATATGTAATTCTTGTGACAGGACCTTCCTTTGGATACCAACAACTTTGACCCTTTGACCTTGACATAGGAGTTTGACCTATTTTTGAAAAACTTTAACCTTGGTCATAACTTTTGAATGGTTGGTGCTAGGGCTTTCATACTTCACACATGTAATCCTTGTGACAAGACCTTCCTTTGGATACCAACCACTTTGACCTTGACCTTGACGTTTTACTTACTTTTAAAAAACTTTAACCTTCGCCATAACTTTTGAACAGTTGCAGCTAGGTCTTTCAAATTTCACAGGAATATTCCCCGAGACAAGACCTTTCTTTGGATACCAACATTTTTTTATCTTTTGGTCTGGATTTTGAATTGTATTTGAGAAACTTTAACCTTCGCCATAAGCTGCCATACGGGGGCATCAGTGTTTCACAAACACATCTTGTTTTTTTTTTCTTTTAACTATCGGCTTATGACCTTCATTGCCTAATGGGGTGTTGTTTACAAAATGTTTACAAAAAATAAAATAAAATCAAACCCACATTTCAATTAAAAATTGAAAATAAATACTTAAAATAGAGGTTTGGCATGGGTCCTGCAAATTTTGTTTATTTTTTCTAAATGCAAGGTTTCATAAAATTTCAGGTTTTAGAACTAAAATAATCTACTTTCGTATAGGAAAAAAATTAAATAATTATTGTCTGGTTCAGCATGATCAAACATTGCTTTGCTCATAGAGTCCCAAGTCCCGAGAAGTTGCTTGTCGGTAAACCAAGGATTTGGACACAATCTTTAGAAAAAAAGTGTTTTGATTCGTTTTACAGTAAATTTAAAAGTGACGTGTCGCTGTAACAATGCGGTATATACAAGCGTTGTTTCTCCAGCTTCATGCATGTATATAATTGCACTCTGCTTCATTTACAGTGCAGCTATTGATTTTTAAACAATCATGCACAGTTATATAAATAATCAGGCTACATCGTGTCCAGTCTCAATGATCATGAGACAATACATAAATGTCTTTCTTCTATATGTTCATGCATGTGATTACTCATTTGAATGTTCTTGATTTATATTTTCAAAATTGAATTTTCAAAACTTAAACAATAAAATGCTTTCTTTGGTTGTTAGTACGGGAATTAATGTTCAGCTGTTGCAGAAAAAATGCATAACCCGCGTAAGCGGGTTATGTAATTTTTTTTCTGCAATAGCTGCAACGTTAATTCCCGTACTAACAAAGAAAGACATTTTATTGTTTATATTTATACTTGTAGAAATAATCATTTAATGTAGGATTTAGTAGACGAAATAGTGCATTATTGATAAGTACGCCATTGTACGTTTCATTGATGGAACAGCCACTGCTCAGGAAATCTTTAGAGGTGATATGCTTGGCGGTGTTTATTGACGATAAACGGCAAAGGTTTTCTTAAGAAATAAAGGAGATAATATTCAGTGGATGTAAATATATGTCTGTACATGATAAAATTTGTATTTTTACATTTTCCTCCCTGTTTTGAAAAATAAATTTTTCAAGCAAGCAAAAAAAAAAATATTTTCATTATATAAAATCCATATTAGTTTCTCAGTAGATGTCAAAAACAGGAAATTTGAATTGATTTTTGAGAAAGCTTCCATTAATTGTAACCTTTCACTGTTATATTTTGGACAAGTAAGCAAAGATTGCTATTAATCTTCAACCTCCTGCATATGACATTGAAAAAAAAACCACTCTCAATTCAGGGCAAAGTCCTGCACACCTTCCTTTTCAATATTAAAATTGAGGTGCAGAAATGCGGAGTTTAATTTATACTTTTCCTCTATCATAGTTATTCACAATGGTGAGATAATGCCTTCTTCCAAAGTTGTTTTTGAAAGTGACATAAGTTCTTAGTTTGCCATTAGTTTGCTGCTCATTTTATTTATGCCATAGGTTTATAAAATATGACTACTTTTTCAATACGAGTAAGTAGGGATCTTGTTTCGCTAAGTCAATATTTTTTATATCAGATAACTGATAATTGGATGGATGTCAACCATGATGTTTATTGTGTAGGAAAAGGCTTTAATTTCGAGACTGGATATGCTTCTTTGAGTAGGACAAAAGATGGATGTAATGTTTCAGGTCGAAACCAATAATTTAACATAGCTATAATGATTTGATAATACAGAGGAAATCTACCTAGTTCAGACAGAACTTCAAAATAAGTCTTCTATCTAAGCACACCAAGAATAGCCTTGCAGTATGAGAAAAGAGAAGGTAGCGAACAGTGATCGATCTCAAAAAATCTACAAACAATACAAATCTGTGAGCAGGGCATAAAACACGGACCCCTGGACATTCCAGTGGTGGGATCAGGTGCCTAGGAGGAGTAAACATCCCATGTTGACTGGTCACATCCGCCGTGAGCCCTATGTGCATTGTTGCACATTATAATTTCTTTAGTTTCAAGGATTTTTATCGGTATTTGTCTGGTAAACGAGGCCAATCATTTGAAAATCTGTTCCAATTAACCTTTTTTCCAACCTTTCATTTGAAGCTAAGAAAAGCTTAATTTCTTTCGAAGCTGCATTTGTGTCAGTGAGGTCTTTAGAATTGTCACAGTCTACAACTTGTTTCAGTGTTGTTTCTTCAAGAAGTTTCAGTTTATTCCACTTCCTTGTTCTGTTTGATGAGTTAGAAGCAGCTTCAAAATTTCTATAAGAATAATGAAATGATGATAAATGAAAAGTTGGTACGAAATTCCTTGCACTCTGATTGACCTGTTGTTTTAAATATAAGACCCTTCTGTTGTCCTTAATTCAATCTTAATACAGGTTTTTGGGTTGATAATATATCTGACCAGTATCGGTGAATGATTTCATTTCACTTTAATACATTTTACCATGATGTTAACGCAAAGTGTAATAACAAGTTTAAAAACGAAAAAAAAAAAAAAAAATAACCGTATAATAACTCACAAAGTGTGCAATGATAAACAGAGATTGAGTTCCAAAGAAATCTTACTTTAAGCAAAGAAATAGAAGTTTTTTGTCATCTACAAATTCATTGATACAAGTGAAATGGATCAGCAAATATAATAAGTAAGTCGTTCCTCTTTTTTTCTGGAGACATTGGAGTAATTGATTTCATTTCAAGTTTATATCCTTAAGCCAACTGGCTTATCAAAGTAATAAGTACATGTTATTTAGAAAAAAAAAAATCAAACAGAGAGAATATATGCATGAAAATAGTGTTATACATCGATATTGTTTTTTTCTTAACAATGCGGCAGCATTCAAAAATTTACCCAAATTTACAAGATCTTTAACATTATTAGTACATTATAAGACAATGTCCAAGTCAGCTCTGTCCCTTTCCACTTTATCAGACCGAGGTCCGGGGTGACAGCGGCCGGTGTCAATTTGATCATAGTATTGACATCAATAACCTCATTAAGATACGCTACACTCTAATCATTCCAAACTTCGCCTAACTACTAAACTATCTGTGCACATCATTTACATTGTGTTTTTACTATCTTGTTATTTAGCTAACCGTATTAAAAATTAATTCCCAAAAATGAGATAAAGAACCAAAAAGAAGCATCTTTAAATGTTGAATTTCTTTTTTCCCGCAATAATAACCATAAATACGAATGTTTTGTCATAAAAATATATCTGTAATGTACAGTGGTCCTCCTCCCCAATTTTTTGTGTAAGCCCAAAAATCTACATACCGGATATATGCTTTACAATAAAGAGAAAAAGTATGTGGGATAGTAAAGTTTCCCACTTGCTGGTCACATGTAAATTTCGAGATGGGGCTTTTTAACATGATGTAAATATAACAGTTTGTAATGCAGCCAAACAATACATTAAAGATTAAGCAATGCTATAAAATTTTCATTATACTGTCTGAACTCTTAAAAGAAAGTGATCAAAAAAGAACGAGTAAAGTGTCTCATTTCCATTATTCCTCGGAAAGTCACGATCTACCCCGGTACATAAACAGACGACTACACAATGTAATTGTGATTACCGGCGCTAAGTCAGAGGAAGACATCTCATAGGAGGCAGTGGCAACGCATTTCTAATAGCGTTACCCTCCACAGATAAGATGGGAATTTCCGCCAATCCATGCAGGAAAGAATACATGACAAACAAGCAAACACGTTGATGTGTTTGTCGCGTAAACTTCGCAATGATGCTTCTAGCTTAGACAGTCCACAATTCAAATAGACTTGGTCTAAGCAAGAACGTCATTCCTTAGGGAAAGAGCTAGAGAATATATTTTCAGTTTCAACTATTTTAAGCATGGTATCGCAAACTTCGGTCGTCGTGTTGCTTTTTGTTGTTCTTGTTGGCGCCGTTGCTGGTGAAAATGTAGTCTGCACCTCAAATTTTGAAAGAATTCTCTCTGACGATTGTAAAACTCTCCACCGATGTGTTTGGGGGAAGCCCGTTAAGATGCCCGACTGTTCCCCGGGGCTCATCTTCAGTCGGCAGTACGGGGTCTGTGTGTACCAGGGTAGCGAATTTGACGATTGTGGGTCAAAGAAGGGTAAGTAATTATAAGTTTTCGCGTACTTCAAAAATCTCGAGATTAATTCAAAAAGTATTCCTATGAATAATATTATTTTTGTCGTTTTATCATTTTATCATCGATAAAAATTGAATATTTGTAGGCATTATATACAATCAAGGACCACGACTTAGTCTTTCGTTTGATACTTCGTACAATTCACGCGCCCAATGGTTGAAGATGAACATCATCTAAAACATACATAAACAGTTATTCAAGAATTCAAGTTAAAAAGAATGGTAAAAAGATTTCTAAACACGCACCTCTTCAAATCAATTATATAGATCTATCTCATTTAGAATTAAGACGCAAATCCTAATAAACAGACTTTTTAAAATTCTAGAATACTAGTACTCCAAAGTAATGCCTACCGAATTCTGGTTTCTTCATTCTTTTTTTTAAGAACTTGTCATTACTCATTACTTAAAAAAATAACATTGATACTCTCTATATTTTATACTCAGAATGTGTTTTACTCTCCAGGATTTACATGTACAGAGTGTTTTTTAATATAAGAAAGTTAATTTTTGGTAAAATTTAGCTACAGTATATTGAATTTTTATGGACAAAATGAATACCGTTGAAAGATTCACTATCGTTCTAATGATCTCTCTTTCATTTTTTAACATCAAGAAAAGCTGTATTGACTTAAATGTTTGATTTCGGAATAGACGGTGGTTGGAGATGACAGTGTTTTAAAAAGTTCGTGAGATATGACTATGCCGGTTTTTTTTTGGTTGTTGTTGTTTTGTTTGTTTGTTGTTGTTTTTTTAATTTAATTTTTTTTGTTTTTGGTAGTGTTACAGATTGTAGATGTGTAGGATTACACAGCGGACACCGTAATTGTAAAATCTCTGACGTCATTAGAAAAGAGAATATAAATTTAACTAGATGAGATCTCGTTGCGAGCAACGAGTAGGTCTTCCGTCCGATTTTTCGATAAGATGAGATATGATTTTGACTATGATCTTTGTTAAAAGATAATAATATATAGACTTCCCTAATTAGATTTCATTCTTTTGATTTATATAACATTATCAAAGAGCTATAGAAGACATGCTTTTGGCCCCTCTTCGCCCCTAGATTGAGGCGTCAGCAACTTTTTCTTGATATCAATTGAAAGGTCTTGTGATTTTTTTTTGTTGTGGAGATATGCTGAATGGAAATATTTAGGGGCCACCCCTCCAAGTCCTTAGTGGGCCCGTTTGACAAAAATTAAAAGTGTGCATATTGTTTAAAACATTATTCTGACCATCTTTTGTTCAGTATTGCTTATCAAAATATTCCCCCTTTTCGAGATATAAAGCGTCAAAGATTTAGCATTCTGGCCCCTTGTAATCCTTATTACGTAACATATGATCAGAATCTTATCATATATTGTTGTAAATCGTTAAGATAAGCATCTTTGCTTCAGTAATGTATTACAAATTATTGATCATTAAAGAGTTAAAGATGAGAGACTTTTGGCCCCACTGAGCCCCTAATTTGAAGGGTCAGCCCCTTTTTCTTGATATCAATTGAAAGGTCTTGAGATTTTGAAGACTTTTTGTTCAACAACTATACGGAGATTTCTTTTTGTTGTGGAGATATGCTGAATGGAAATATTTAGGGCCCATTCTCAAAGTCCTAAATGGGGCCGTTTGACAAAAATTGAAAGGGTACATATTGTTTAGAACATTATTCTGGCCATCTTTTGTTCATTATTACTTATCAAAATATTCCCCCTTTTCGAGATATACAGCGTTAAAGATTGAGCATTCTGGCCCCTTTCAGCCCCTTATTATGCAATGAATGATCTTAATTTTATAATATATAGTTGCAAATCGTTAAGATAAACATTTTTGCTTCAGTAATTGATAACAAAAAATTGATAATTTATGAGTTATAGATGAAAGACTTCTGGCCCCTCTGAGCCCCTAATTTGGGGGGTCAGCCCCTTTTTCTTGATATCAAATGAAAGGTCTTGTGATTTTGAACACTTTTTGTTCAACAACTATTCAGATATTTCTTTCGATTATTGAGATATACTGAATGGAAATATTTAGGGGCCACCCCTCCAAGTCCTTATTGGGGCCGTTTTACAAAAATTGAAAGGGTGCATGTTGTTTAGAACATTATTCTGAACATCTTTTGTTCAATATTGCTTATCAAAATATTTCCCCTTTCCAAGATATAAAGCATCAAATATTTATCATTCTGGCCCCTTATGGCCCCTTATTACGTAATATATGATCCCGATTTTATAAAACGTAGTTGCAAATTGTTACGATAAACATTTTTGCTTCAGGAATTTATAACGAAATATTGACTGTTAAAGAGTTATGGAAAACAGATTTTTGGCCCCTCTAAACCCTAAATAGGAGGGGTCAGCCCTTTTTTCTTGATATCAAATAAAAGCTCTTATCATTTTGCACAACTTTTATTATATATGTTTTAACAAAATATTTACAGGTATAAAGATATAAAAGAAAACGTGTCAAATTTTGCGAGATGCTTATGAGCCTATTTTTCGAGCCCAGGCGAGCTTCAGCGCCTTTTGCGCTGGGAAGATATAGACTCAAAAAAGCACATCTACGATCCTTCCTCTACCTTCACTGAAAATCTCAACTCAATATCTTTAAGCGTTTAGGAGTGATTGCCAGGACAAGCCGACCCTCTGAAAATCAGAAAATCGTCCATATCTCACGATCGGAAGTGACGTCATCAATATAAAAAATTTCCAATAAGGTTCAGATCAATATCTATCAGATCTGAAAGTTTCGTGAAAATCGACCGAGCCGTTTCCGAGAACTCGCTTGCACAAAATCGGTAAGAAAAAAAAAGAATAATAATAATAATAACTAGATGAGATCTCGTTGCGAGCAACGAGTGGGTCTTCCGTCCGATTTTTGATAAGATGAGATAAGAATTTGACTGGGATTTTCGTTCAAATATAATGATATAAATAAATTGTTAAGACGAACAATTTTGCTTTAATAATGTTTAACAAAATATTGATCATTAAAGGGTTTTAGATTAAAGACTTTCGGCCCTTCTTGGCTCCTAATGTGAAAGGTCAGCCCCTTTTTCTTGATATCATCTTAAAGCTCTCATGATTTTGAACACTTTTTGTTCAACAACTATTCAGAAATTCTTTTTTGTTTTCGGAATATATGCAAAAGAAATATTAAGGAATGGCCCTTCAAGTCCTAAATGGGGACGTCTAGCAAAAATTCAAAGAGTGCATATTGTTCAGAATATTATTTTGGACATCTTTTGTTCAATACTGTTTATCAAAATATTCTTCCTTTTCAAGACATATTGCGCCAAAGATTATGCAATTTGGCCCCCTAAAGACCCCTTATTTCGTAACATATGATATCAACATCATGTTATTTAGATAAAGTTTGTGAAGAAAAACTATTTCGCTTCAGTAATATATTACAAAATATTGATCATTAAAGAGTTATTGATTGTATACTTTCGGCGCCTCTCAGCCCCTTATTTAAGGGGTCAGACCCTTTTCCTTGATATCACCTTAAAGCTCTCATGATTTTGAACACTTTTTGTTCAACAACTAGTCTGAAATTCTTTTTCGTTTCTGAGATATTCGCAAAAGAAGTATTTAGGGGCTGGCCCTTCAACTCCTTAATGGGGACGTTTAGCAAAAAATGAAAGGTTGCATCTTGTTAAGAACATTATTTTTGACATCTTTTGTTCAATATTGCTTATCAAAATATATCCCACTTTTGAGATATAAAGCGTCAAAGATTTAGCATTCTGGCCCCTTATGGCCCCTAATTATGTAACATTTGATGTAAATATCATAATATGTAGTCGTACATTGTTGAGATAAACATTTTTGCTTCAGTAATGCATTACAAAATATTGATCGTTAAAGAGTTATTGTTCAAAGACTTTCGGCCCCTCTCAGCCCCTATCGTGAGGGTCCAGCACCTTTTTCTTCATATCACTTTAAAGCTCTCATGATTTTGAACACTTTTTGTTCAACAACTAGTCAAAAATTCTTTTTTGTTTCTGAGATATTTGCAAAAGAAGTATTTAGGGGCCGGCCCTTCAACTCCTTAATGGGGACGTTTAGCAAAAAATGAAAGGTTGCATCTTGTTAAGAACATTATTTTGGACATCTTTTGTTCAATATTGCTTATCAAAATATTTCCCAATTTTGAGATATAAAGCGTCAAAGATTTAGCATTCTGGCCCCTTATGGCCCCTAATCATGTAACATATGATGTGAATATCACAATATATAGTCGTACATTGTTGAGATAAACATTTTTGCTTCAGTAATGCATTACAAAATATTGATCGTTAAAGAGTTAATGGACTTTCGGCCCCTCTCAGCCCCTATCGTGAGGGTCCAGCCCCTTTTTCTTCATATCACTTTAAAGCTCTCATGATTTTGAACACTTTTTGTTCAACAACTAGTCAGAAATTCTTTTTCATTTCTGAGATATTTGGAAAATAAATATTTAGGGGCCGGCCCTTCAACTCCTTAATGAGGACGTTTAGCAAAAAATGAAAGGTTGCATCTTCTTTAGAACATTATTTTGGACATCTTTTGTTCAATATTGCTTATCAAAATATTTCCCACTTTTGAGATATAAAGCGTCAAAGATTTGGCATTCTGGCCCCTTATGGCCCCTTATCATGTAACATATGATGTGAATATCACAATATATAGTCGTACATTGTTGAGATAAACATTTTTGCTTCAGTAATGCATTACAAAATATTGATTGTTAAAGAGTTATTGTTCAAAGACTTTCGGCCCCTCTCAGCCCCTATTGTGAGGGTCCAGCCCCTTTTTCTTCATATCACTTTAAAGCTCTCATGATTTTGAACACTTTTTGTTCAACAACTAGTCAGAAATTCTTTTTCATTTCTGAGATATTTGGAAAATAAATATTCAGGGGCCGGCCCTTCAACTCCTTAATGGGGAAGTTTAGCAAAAAATGAAAGGTTGCATCTTGTTTAGA